TTCTACCTATATGTATCAATTGATTGTTTTCTCTATTGATCTATCATCCATCCATCTATCTATTATTTCTATCTATCTATCTATCTATCTCTATCGATCAGTCAGTCTATTGAACTATCTTTCTATCTATATGTATCAATTGATTGTTCTCTCTATTGATCTATCTATCTATCTATCTATCTATTCTATCTATCTATCTATCTATCTCCCTATCTATCTATGTCTCTCTATCTTGATCTATCTATCTATCTATCTATCTCTATCTATCTATCTATCTATCTATCTATCTTTCTATCTATCTATCTATCTATCATCTATCTCTGATCTATCTCTCTGTCTCTCTTTCCTGCCTGTCATCCCATTTTCCAATTTATCAATGGAGAGATGGATACTCACTAGTACATCCTTCTCCTCCAATGGCGTGCCTCCCCCCTTGCACGGGGCTTTCCTATTGGCCGAGCATCTCCCCCCCTTCCCCAAACGCCTGCTGTTGCCGTGGCAACACCCAAAGCCTGCCTTAGTCTTCCCACCTGCTTGGAAATAACTACTATAAATAGCATTACTGCTACTACTACTACTAGAAATAACTAGAAAAACAATTATTTGTGGCATTAATTACTAGAGGAATAAGTTACATCTGCATAGTAGAAATAAGTAGGGTTACTTGTGGTCTCAATTACTAGAGGAATTAGTTCAATGGAGTGGATAACTAGAAGTAACTAGAAAAATGTACTTACGGCCTTAATTACTGGAGGAATGAATGGGTAACGAGAAGTAACAAGAAAAGTTACTTGCAGTCTTAATTATTGGAGGAACGAATGGGTAATGAGAAGTAACTAGAAAAGTAACTTGCAGCCTTAATTACTAGAGGAGCGAATGGGTAACGAGAAGTGACTACAAAAGTTACTTGTGGGCTTAATTATTGGAGGAACGAATGGGTAACGAGAAAAGTAAATTGCAGCCATAATTACTAGAGGAGTGAATGGGTAACGAGGAGTAACTAGAAAAGTTACTCGTGGCCTTAATTATTGGAGGAATGAATGGGTAACAAGAAGTAACTAGAAGAGTAACTTGCAGTCTTAATTACTAGAGGAACGAATGGGTAACGAGAAGTAACTAGAAAAGTTACATGTGGCCTTAATTATTGGAGGAGCGAATGGATAAAGAGAAGTAACTAGAAGAGTAACTTGCAGCCTTAATTACTAGAGGAACTAGTTCAATGGAGTTGGTAACTAGAAGCAACTACAAAGAGCAACTAGAAAAAGGAAAGAACCATTGTCTGCGTAAGGCAAGTGTGAATGTTGCTGTTAGCAAGCTTGAATAGCATTGAGTAGCCATGAAGTCTACCAAGTCAACCAGTGAGGGTTTCTGCATAGAGACAGCCTGGCTGTTGTTGCCTGGAGGCGCTCTCTGTGGAATAATATCCAGGCTGGGAGAAAGAACCCTTGTCTGAAGCAAGTGTGGATGTTGCAATTAGCAGGCTTGAACAGCATCGAGCAGTCATTAAGTTTGCAAAGTCAATCAGTAAGGGTCTCTGCATAGGGGTATCATTGTCTTTGTTTCCTGGAGGCGTCCTCTGTCTGGGAGATGTTAATTGCAACATTCACACTTGCAATGAGCCAGCCTGAATAGCACTGAGCAGCCATGAAGCTGCAAAGTCAACCAGTGAGGGCATCTGCATAGAGGTAGCCCGGTTGTTGTTGCTTGGAGGCACCCTCTGCCCAGGGTGTGAATCAAAGAACTTGAAATGTAGTGGAGACATTAAGTGCCAAGCAGAGGGTGCCTCCAGACAACAACAGCCAGGCCACCTCTATGCAGAGACCCTTGCTGATTGACTTCGCACATATCGTAGCTACTCATTGCTGTTCAAGCTGGCTCATTGCAAGTATGAATGTTGCAAGTAACACCTCCCTGGCTCCAGGCAACAGCAGCCAGGCCACTATGCAGAGACCCTTGCTGATTGACTTTGCAAACTTTGTGTCTATTCAGTGCTATTGAAAGCTTGCCAATGGCAACATTCCCACTTGCTTTAAGCAGACAAGGGTTCCTTCTCCCACCCTGAACATTATTCCACAGAGGGCGCCTCCAGGCAACAGAGGCCAGGCCATCTCAATGCCGAGACTCTCACTGATTGACTTCACAAACTTCATGGCTACTAAGTGCTGTTCAAGCTAGGCCCGTTGCAAGTTAATGTTGCAGTTAACACCTCCTAAGCAGAGGCTGCTTCCAGGCAACAACAGCCAGGCAACCTCTATGCAGAGACCCTCACTGATCGACTTTGCAAACTTCATGGCCATTCAAATAGTAATTCAAGCTTGCGTTTGCAAACTTTGTGTCTACTCAGTGCTATTCAAGCTTGCCAATGGCAACTTTCCTCGTTCGACAGAGGGTGCCTCCAGGCAGTAGAGGCCAGGCCACCTGAATGCATAGACCCTCACTGATTGACTTGGTGAACTTCATGGCTACTCAGTGCTATTCAAGCTGGGCCCATTGCAAGTGTTAATGTTGCAAGTAACACCTCTTAAGCAGAGAGTATCTCCAGACAATAACAGCCAGGCCACCTCAATGCAGAGACCCTCACTGATTGACTTGGCAAACTACATGGCCATTCAAATAGTAATTCAAGTTTGCTTTTGCAAACTTTGTGTCTACTCAGTGCTATTCAAGCCTGCCAATGGCAACTTTCACCATTCGATAGAGGGTGCCTCTAGGCAATAGAGGCCAGGCCAGCTCAAAGCAGAGACCCTCACTTATTGACTTTGCAAACTTCACGACTTCTCAATGCTGTTCAAGCTGGGCCCATTGCAAGTGTGAATGTTGCAAGTAACATCTCCCAAGCAAGAGGGTGCCTCCAGGCCACCTCAATGTAGAGATCCTCACTGATTGACTTGGCAAACTTCATGTCCATTCAAATAGTAGAACATTTGAAGCCGCCATTAGCCACAGATGCAGGAGAGAAGGCAAGACTGTCTTGGGGAGGCTTCGCTTTCGTTCTGAAGTCCTTTTGGGCCTCGAAACAGAAAGCAGGCCAGAAGGAACTTCTGCAAAAGCGAGGGTTTCTCTTCCCGGGAGAGGCCTTTATATATAACATCCACAACCTTGGCTGCTTTTTGGCAAACTTGGTGCAAACTTTGCAGCCTCTCGCAGCCAGCATGGTTTGTATGGGTTCCTTCGTCCTTGGGAAACTACAACTCCAGGGGACACGACGGCTTGAACGGCCTTGACTTTGCAGGCTTTCCCTTTGGCAGGAAGGAAAAAATATATATAATTTCTGGGGATTTGATATAGTTTGATGTCAGTGGGAGGAAGAACAGAACAGAACGGAACAGGCGTGAAACGAGGCGTGAAAGGCAAACCTCACATGCTCTGCACGCTTGGTTGCATGATTATAGCATCTATAGCTCTGTATATGATATCAGCATAGCACAATATATCAGGATTAAATACCACTATGTGTGTTGTACTATACCGTTCTATTATAATATTATTAGTCATATTACATGTAATATATAATTACATTATTAGTAGTATTATATTGCGTTACATTATAATATTATAAATACTATATGTATATACAATATATTATAATATACTTTAATATATTATATTGTTCAGTATTAAATAGCACTATATTGTACTTTTCTGTTCTATTGTAATATTATTGGTCGTATTACATGTAATATAAAATATATAATTATATTATCATATTATTAGTAATATTATATTGCATTACATTATAATGTTATAAATACTATAGGTATATACAATATATTATTATAATACTTTCTTATATTATATTGTAATATATATTGTGTGTGTGTGTATGTATATATATATATATATATATATATATACACACACACAATATATATATATAGTATATACAATATATGTATATGCAATATATTATACCGTATATATGTAAATGTGTGTGTGTGTGTATATATATATATATATATTTGTGTCTGTGTGTGTAATTATAATGATTATATTATTGGTTCATCTCCAAGGACTTTTGGCTGGATTGCATTTTATGATATTTAGATTTATTACTATATACTTTATATATATATGAGTGTGTGTGTGTGTATAATTATAATATTAATTATATTATTGGTTCAGGATCTTTTGGCTGGATTGCACTTTATGATATTTATTTATATACTTTGTGTGTGTATTTATATACTTTGTGTGCGTGCATGTGTGTGTGTGTAATTACAATATTAATTATATTATTTGTTCAGGTTTTTTTGGCTGGATTGTACTTTATGATATTTATATTTATTACTATATACTTTGTGTGTGTATGTATGTGCTTGTGTGTGAGTGAGCGTGTGTGTATATATGTGCGTGCATGTGTGTGTAAATATGTGTGTGTGTGTAATTATAAAATTAATTATATTATTGGTTCCTCTCCACGGTCTTTTGGCTGGATTGAGTTTTATGATATTTAGATTTATTACTATGTACTTTGTGTGTGTGCCCGTGTGTGTGTATGTGCGTGTGCGTATGTATATATATGTGTGTGTGTAATTATAATATTAATATTATTGGTTCATCTCCAAGGTGTTTTGGCTGGATTACATTCTATGATATTTATATTTATTACTATATACTATGTGTGTGTGTATATATATATATATATATATATATATATGTGTGTGTGTGTGTGTGTGTGTGTGTGTGTGTGTGTATAATTATAATATTGATTATATTATTATTGCTTCCTCTCCAGGGTCTTTTGCCTTGATTTCATTTTATTATATTTATATTTATTACTATATACTTTGTGTATGTGTGTATATATATATATATATGTGTGTGTGTGTGTGTGTGTGTATAATCATAATATTCATTATATTATTGGTTCCTCTCCAGGATCTTTTGGATGGATTGCATTTTATTATATTTATTATTATATACTTGGTGTGTATTTGAGTCTCCATATGGATATATGTACATATCGATATCTATATATTCCTCTCCTTTTTGTCGTGTAGGACCAGTTTGATAACCTGGAGAAGCACACCCAGTGGGGCATCGACGTCTTGGAGAAATACATCAAGTTCGTCAAAGAAAGGACCGAGATCGAAATCAACTATGCAAAGCAGCTTCGGTGAGTTGCGGAAGGATTGACTCAGTATCTGGGTCCATCATAATAATAATAATAATAATAATAATAATAATAATAAAATAATGCAAAGACTCTGGCACAGGCTAGTCAAGAAGGTCCCAGTGGACCTTCTTGACTAGTTTGTGCCAGAGTCTTTGCATTATTATTATTATTATTATTATTATTATTATTATTATTATTATTATTCGCACACTGGGTGCAGCGCCTAAAGACCTTGGCCTGAGAGAAAAGCGGGATATAAATAAATAATAAATCTAATAAATAATAAGAAGAAGAAGAAGAAGAAATAAGAAATGAGTCCCACCCGTGAGAAAAGCGTGATATCAATAAAGAATATATCTAATAATAATAATAATAATAATAATAATGAGTCCCACCCATGAGAAAAAGTGGGATATAAATAAATAATAAATCTAATAATAAGAGTAATAAATAATAAATGAGTCCCACCCATGGGAGAAAAGTAGGATATAAATAAATAATAAATCTAATAATAATAATAATAATAATAATAATAATAATAATTAAGAAATGAGTCCCACCTGTGAGAAAAGTGGGATATAAATAAAGAATATATCTAATAATAATAATAATAATAATAATAATGAGTCTCACCCATGAGAAAAAAGTGGGATATAAATAAATAATAAATCTAATAATAAGAGTAATAAATAATAAATGAGTCCCACCCATGGGAGAAAAGTAGGATATAAATAAATAATAAATCTAATAATAATAATAATAATAATAATAATTAAGAAATGAGTCCCACCTGTGAGAAAAGTGGGATATAAATAAAGAATATATCTAATAATAATAATAATAATAATAATGAGTCTCACCCATGAGAAAAAAGTGGGATATAAATGAATAATAAATCTAATAATAAGAGTAATAGTAATAAATAATAAATGAGTCTCACCCATGGGAGAAAAGTAGGATATAAATAAATAATAAATCTAATACTACTACTAATAATAATAACAAGAAATGAGTCCCACCCGTGAGAAAAGTGGGATATAAATAAATAATAAATCTAATAATAATAATAATAACAAGAAATGAGTCCCACCCGTGAGAAAAGTGGGATATAAATAAATAATAAATCTAATAATAATAATAATAATAATAATAATAACAAATGAGTCCCACCCGTGAGAAAAGTGGGATATAAATAAAGAATACATCTAATAATAATAATAATAAGAAAAAGTGTGATATAAATAAATAGTAAATCTAATAATAATAGTAATAGTAATAAATAATGAGTTCCACCGGTGAGAGAAAAGTGGGATATAAATAAATAATAAATCTAATAAATAATAATAATAGTAATAAATCTTATAATAATAATAACAATAAATAATAGTAATAGTAAATAATAATAAATGAGTCCCATCCATGGAAGAAAAGTGGGATAAATATAAATAAATAATCTTATAATTATCATAACTATTTATAATCAATGATCAATAATAAGTGAGCCCCACCTATGGGAGAAAAGCAGGATAGAAATCAATAAATCATCTTTATTTATATCCTGTTTTTCTCCCTAACGGGACCCAAAGTGGCTCACAACCTAACGCTATACAAATCAAAACACATTTAACATAAAATACCAGACAAAAATCACACAAAGAGATATAAATAAAAATTGAGCATAATAAAATAATATCAATTAATACAATAAATAGAATCAACACAAGCAACGACGTAAACGAATGGCTATCTTATTCAAGGGTTTAGTCAGGACAAGGTTGGGAATTGGGAAAACACACAAAAATCGATGTTGTGAGTCCTCTGAGAAGTCCTCTTGTGAAAGAGGAAGCGGGGAACGCCGCCGGGGGCGAAGGAATGGAGAAGTCCGACTCAGAAGGGGAGGTGGAAGCGGGACCCACACCGGGGTTTGGGAGCCCGGAGCAGGGTTGTTTCTCTCCTCCAAGAAGGGCCGGGCTCTCGCCTCCCGCCCGTGGCCTTCGCTTACCACGTGGAGTCACGGCCCTCCTTTCCCATCTCGTGGCAGGAACCTTTCCAAGAAATACCAGCCCAAGAAGAACTCCAAAGAAGAGGACGAAAACAAGTAGGTTGCCTCTCCCTATACATACACCTCTCCTCCACCTTTCCATCCATCCACCTATCCATCCATCTTTCTACTTATCTATCTATCTATCTATCTATCTATCTATCTATCTATCTATAATGTATCTATGTATCTGTCTATTCATCTATGTATGTATGTATGTATTAATCCATCCATCGTCTATCTATCTATCTATCTATCTATCTATCTATCTATCTATCTATCTATAATGTATCTATGTATCTGTCTATTCATCTATCTATCTATCTATCTATCTATCTATGTATCCATCCATTATCTATCTATCTATCTATCTATCTATAATGTATCTATGTATCTGTCTATTCATCTGTCTATCTATCTATGTATTCATCCATCCATCCATCATCTATCTCTCTCTCTATCTATCCCTCCCTCAATTATCTATCTTCTGTCTCTGTCCGTCCATCCTCTATCTATCTATCTATCTATCTATCTATCTATCTATCTACCTACCTATCCATCCATCCATCCATCCATCCATCCACCTATTTGTCTATCCATCCGTTATCTATGTATCCATCCATCCATCCTCTATCTATCCAGCTACCCATCCATCTATATATCTTTTCTATCTATCTCAATGTATCTTTTTATCTAAGTAACTATCTATCTAGTCATCCATCCATTCATCCATCTATCTTTCTACCCATCTATCCCTCCATCTATCTATCCATCCATCCATCTAGCTTAGCTATCTATCTATCTATCTATCTATCTATTCATCCATCCATCCATCCATCTATCCTACCTACCCATCTATCCCTCCATTTCCTCCATGTATTGATTGATTGATCAATTGAGCTATCCATCCATCCATCCATTTGTCTGTCTGTCTGTCTGTCTCTATCCATCTATCTATCTATCTATCTATCTATCTATCTATCTATCTATCCATCAATGTATTCCTCCATCTATCTATCTAGCTATTGATCGATCAACCTATCTCTTTATTCATCCATCCATCTATCCTTCTACCCATCTATCCCTCTCTCTCTCTCTCTATCCATCCATCCATCCATCAATCCATGCATGTATTCCTCTATGTATTGATTGATTGATTGATTGAGCTATTCATCCATCCATTCATCTATGTATTTATGTATGCATGTATGTATGTATCCATCCATCCATTCATCTGTTTATCTAGCCATCTATCTATCCATCCATCTATCTATCCATCCATTATCTTCCTATCCATTTATCTATCTATTCATCGATTTCTCTATCTATCTATCTATCTATCTATCTATCTATCTATCTATCTATCTATCTATCTATCTATCTATCCGTCTACCCATCTGCCCATCCATCAATCCATCCATGCATCTATCTATCCATCCATTCATCCATATATCTATTTATCTGTTTATCCATCCATCCATACACCTATCTGTACATGGATCACGCTTTCTCTCCATCCATCCATCAATGCATCCATCCATGCATCCTTTCTTTTGCCTATCTGTTGTTTAGCTATCTCATCTGTCCATCTGCCTGTCCATCCATCTCTCCAGCCACCCATGCGCCTATCTATCTCACCTGTCCTCCCATTCCCCCGTGCGCGCAGCCAATGGGAAGGGTGGGAGGAAGCCGGCTGTGCTGCTGGGCCACTGCCTAAGGGCTCCCCCCCCCCCCCCCCCCCGACTTCTCGCCCACTTGCAGGTATTCCTCGTGCCGGGCCTTCCTGTCAACGCTGAGCGAGATGAATGACTACGCCGGGCAGCACGAGGTCATCTCCGAGAACATGACCTCCCAGATCACGGTCGAACTCGCCCGGTACGTCCAGGAGCTCAAGCAGGAGAGGAAAGCGGTAAGGGGTGCCCCCACGCCGGCCCTCGCACAACTGCCCCTCCCACCATTTGGCCCCGGCACAATTGGAATGGTTTCTTGCACAATTGGACCTTGCACAATGGTTTATTTTACATTTGGTCCTTGTGTAATAGTTCCTTCTACATTAGGTCCTCGTGCAATACTTTCTTCCACAATTTGTCCTTGCACAATAGTTTATTTCACAATTGTCCTTGCATAATCATTTCTTGGTTTATGCACAATTGGTCCTTGCACAATAGTTTCTTGTTCATTTGGTCCTTTCACAATCATTTATTTCACAGTTGTCCTTGCACAATCTTTCCTTGGTTTATTCCACAATTGGTCCTTGCACAATTGTTTTTTGTTCATTTGGTCCTTGCACAATCGTTCCTTGTAGAACTGTTCCTTGTGACACTGTTTCTTGCAGAATGGATCCTTGTAAAATAATTATTGGTGCAGTAATTGGACAATAATTTATTGTGCAATTGGTCCTTGCACAATAGTTTCTTGTAGGATTGGTTCTTATACAGTAGGCTGTTGCAGAATTGGCTATTTCGCTGTTGCTTCCCGCACTGTTCTCACACAATTACTTTAGGCACCATTTCCACAACCGCTTCCTTCACAACTGCTACCTGCACTGTTTTCACAACCACCTGCACTGTTTTCACAACCACTTCTTGCACAATTGCTTCTAGTGCTGTTTTCACAACCGTTTCCTGCACAACTGCTTCCTGCACTGTTTTCACTACTTCTTACACAACTGCTTCCTGCACCGTTTTCACAATTGCTTCTCACACAATTGCTTCCTGCACTGTTTTCACCACTTCTTGCACAATTGCTTCTAGTGTCATTTCCACAACCGCTTCCTGCACAACTGCTTAACTGCTTCCTGCACTGTTTCCGCAAATGCTTCCTGCACTTTTTTCAAAATTGCTTCCTGCACTATTGCTTCCCCCACTGTTTTCGCAGCCACTTCTTGCACAATTGCTTCTAGTGCCATTTTCACAACTGCATCCTGTACTGTTTTCACAATTGCTTCTCGTACAATTGCTTCCTGCACAGTTTTCACAAATGCTTCACACACAGTTGCTTCTCACAGTGTTTTCACAACCACTTAATGCACAATTGCTTCCCGCACTACTGTCACAACTGCTTCCTCCACTGTTTTCACAATGCTTCTCTCACAATTGCTTCTGGCACTATTTTCACAATGGCTTCCCCTGCACGGATTGCTTCCCGCACTGCTTTTGCAAATGCTTCCTGCACTGTTTTCACAATGCTTCTCTCACAATTGCTTCTGGCACTATTTTCACAATGACTTCCCCTGAATGGATTGCACTGTGCATGCATACAAGCATACGCACACTTCTCCTGGGGTTTAGTCCTCTGCGGGTCAGGTTTAAATAACCCGAGACCGGGCGAGGGTGCCTTCGCCATGCAGACGAGCACGTGCCTGCCGTGGCCTTGCACCACAGTGGTGCCAAGAGGCGCATTCCAGGGCTGCTGTGCTCACGAGGGTGGTGACCAGAAAGGAAAAGGCCGCGCTTGTCTTGCGGACACAAAGCCCGATTGTGCTTTGCCCTCTCCCTGGCCCTTTGTGTTCCCAGGCAAGCAATAATCTTTGCAGAGCAAAGGAAAAGCCCGGCCTTTGCTTCGCACCACGGGCCGCCTGAGCCAAGCCCAAAGCGCCTCTTCTTGCCGCTTGTGATTTATGACCTGGTTTGCAAAGTTGCAAAAATGGGATTTGCAGGTCGCCTGGCATTAAAGCGCTTATTCCAGATGTGGAAAATGTGAATTCCTTTGTGTCCCTCTCCCTGTTTTCCATTGCTTGGAAGGTTTAATTTCCAGGAAATAAGAGCAAAAAAAAAAAAAAAACACAAATAGCCCCAAGGAGGGGAAATCTCCACGTTTGTTTTCCTTTGTTACGTGGCACCATTTGTGCAAAAAGACTAAAAGGAAAAGCAGGATAATAATAATAATAATAATAATAATAATAATAATAATACAACCAATATTGGTTGATTATTATTATTATTATTATTATTATTATTATTATTATCCTTTGTTACGTGGCATGATTTGTGCAAAAAGACTAAAAGAAAAAAGCAGGATAATAATAATAATAATAATAATAATAGTACAACCAATATTGGTTGATTATTATTATTATTATTATTATTATTATTATTATTATTATCCTGATTTTTCTTTTACGACTCCAAGCCTGTGGAACACCCCAACTCATGACATTATACTCGTATATTTTATATATATTGAATGCTTTTGTTCTGCCAACAAATCCTTTCCACGAGAGTCTTTTCCAAGCGTTTTCTTCCTTGCGTTTCCTTCCTCAGCATTTTCACGACGGGCGGAAAGCCCAGCAACACATTGAGACCTGCTGGAAACAGCTGGAATCGGTGAGTTAGTTTGCAAAATGGTTTTGGGTTCTGCATGCAAAATACAACGCTATTATTATTGTTGTTGTTGTTGTTGTTGTTGTTGTTGTTGTTGTTGTTGTTGTTATTAATTTGGGTGGGTTTTGAGGGCCACACACAGAGAAGTGATTATTATTGTTGTTATTGTTATTACCTTTGAGGGTGATGCATATATATATATATATATATATATATATATATATGATACATTATTATTATTATTATTTTTATTATTATTATTATTATTTGGGTGGGTTTTGAGGGCCACACATGGAGATGTGACTATTATTATTATTATTATTATTACCTTTGAGGGTGATGCATCGATATATGATACATTATTATTATTCTTATTGTTATTATTATTATTAATTTGGGTGGGTTTTGAGGGCCACACACAGAGAAGTGATTATTATTATTATTATTATTATTATTATTATTATTATTATTATTAGTACCTTTGGGGGTGATGCATGGATATATGATACATTATTATTATTATTATTATTATTGTTATTATTATTATTATTATTAATTTGGGTGGGTTTTGAGGGCCACACACAGAGATGTGATTATTATTATTATTATTATTATTATTATTATTATTATTATTATTAGTACCTTTGGGGGTGATGCATGGATATATGATACATTATTATTATTATTATTATTATTGTTATTATTATTATTATTATTAATTTGGGTGGGTTTTGAGGGCCACACACAGAGATGTGATTATTATTATTATTGTTATTGTTATTACTTTTGAGGGTGATGCATGGATAGATGATACATTATTATTATTATTATTATTATTGTTATTATTATTATTATTATTAATTTGGGTGGGTTTTGAGGGCCACACACAGAGATGTGATTATTATTATTATTGTTATTGTTATTACTTTTGAGGGTGATGCATGGATAGATGATACATTATTATTATTATTATTATTATTGTTATTATTATTATTATTATTAATTTGGGTGGGTTTTGAGG